AGCAGACGTCACCTGCCCCTCCTCTGTCCCCCTGCAGTTAACTGCTGGCCTTCGGAGAGTGGGAGCGGCTGCGATGTGAACATTGAGTATGAGCTGCAGGAGGAGGGGCTGGAGCTCAACGATGTCGTCATCTCTATCCCAGTCCCGTGAGTATGCCTGGCCCCCACATGACGCACACGCGTTCAGTATGGGCGTGAGGTGCCCACAGACTCAACACGTCCACCCTGTTCTCCCATCAGATGAGACCTGAGCCAGATCTAGCGTGCAGCTTTCTTCTTTACCGTTCCACTCGCATCCTCTGCCTTCCCTCGTGCAGCCATCAGTAAATGCATGCCTGACACTCTTTGGAGGCTGTAGAGAGCAGAAGCTGCTGTGCATCTCTGCACCAGCCACGCAGTGCGTAAGAAGCTCTTGAGTCACAGCGCTGGGTTTGCGTCATTTACTCATTCTTACTCAGATGTAGTTTTCCAGGATGTCCCTAAGCTAAGACATTAGGAACAGCCCGCGCATTTTGACGTAGTGGCTTTTCAATCATGAGCCGACGCGTGAGTGTGGCCCCTGCTTCCCCCCCGCTGCAGCTCGGGAGTGGGCGCCCCCCTGATCGGCGACCTGGACGGCGAGTACCGGCACGACAGCCGCAGGAACGTGCTCGAGTGGTGCCTGCCCGTCATCGACGCCAAGAACAAGACGGGCAGCCTGGAGTTCAGCATCGCGGGCCAGCCCAACGACTTCTTCCCCGTGCACGTCTCCTTCGTCTCCAAGCGCAACTACTGCGACATACAGGTGAGCCTCCGCGCCCCTCCCGCGTGCTGGCGAGAGTTGCCACGATTGGTCTGTTTGTGGTCACATGGTCGCAGTGTTCTGATTGGCTGTTGTGTGCGGCCAAGATTTCTCGAGCCTACCTCGAGGAAAAAAAGTGGTCTGAAAAAAGGGTAAAGACTGCAGTTAAACTTTAGAGAACTTAAGATTGAAGTTGAGTGTAGAATCAGTTTGGTGTAGGCAATAAGGTTTTGTAGTAAAGAAAAACTATTTTATTGGAAAAGTCGTGGAGAATTGTCGTGGAGTGACTGTGGGATCCCCGGTGTGAATATATACATGTGCTATGAGGTGCACTCATCAATACCGATTCTTTCTAACCCTGAAATATAAAAGTGGCGTAGTAGTTCCCCCTTTAAATAAGGTCCAGCAGGGGGAGCTTTGCTTATTGGAGGAAGAGGCGGGGCGAATGTTGTGTGGAGAGTTTGACTTTCCGGATTCCTGCTCTTTCCTTATTCTTTGCGCTTGGTTTCCCTCCTCCCCCCCAGATTTCCAAAGTCACCCTGGTGGACAGCGACAGCCCTGTGAGGTTCTCCTTGGAAACGTCGTTCGTCGTCGACAAGTACGAGATACTGTAAGCGCGCGGGCGCCTCGCGATCCCTGATGGCCGCCGTCAACCGCGAGAAGACGAGAGAAGAAGAAAAGAAAAGGAGAAACCGATAGTAGCCTGTCCGCTGTGTACCAGATTGAATACAACACATCAACGGGACGCAATCCTGCTAAGCCCTTACCGCCATGGCGTGCAGTATTTGGTGTATTTATACCTTTATATGTAAAAAAAAGAAACAGAAATGCTATATATATAAATAAAACCGAACAGGACGCAGTTGTGCTGCATCAGCAAAGGAGAATCGTAATATACAAACAGGAGGGCTGTGGGGGAGAGGAGGGACAAGTAGTGTTTAAAGGGGGCTAGGGTGGGGATGGGGGGGGAGGGCTAGGGGTTGTGCTTCAGGTGTGATCCAAAAATTGAATACCTAAATAAAAAGAACGTCCTGATAACCTGAGCAGCATGACGTTTCCCCGGACGTCCAAAGACAGGTGTGGAAAGATCCCAGGCTCGTGGACAGCCTTTGTAACGAGGGTGTGTGTGTGTGGGGGGTCAGATGAGCCGATTTCCTGCGACCGCAGTCAGAGGAAGAGTACGGAGTGTGGCTTGAGCAGCTATGTTGCTTTCTGGGCAAAAAAAAAAGAAAAAACACTAAACGAGTTGCTAGATGACTGCCTCACGTCCAGCTTTAACCTGCACCTCTTGCGCAGCCTCTTCGGATTGACTGGGAGTCGTGTGAACCCGGTTTGTTATGTATCCCAGTGTGGGAACAGCCCAAGGAGCTGGACGTTCGGCTAAATCTTATCAGGGGAGAATGCGAGTACAGCTGGGCACCTTGACATGTTATTAAAATATCAACAGAGCTGCGGGGGGGGGAAAAATCGAAACCTTGACCTTATTATTGCTGCACTCCCTTCAGTCCATGTAAGATCCCAGCTGCACTGTGATTGGAAATATTTTTAAGTAACAGCTTCAAATTCAGACAAAATGGCATGTTCTATTATATATGGCATTTTGGGTGAATGTGGCCTCCAGTACATATCGGTTGAAAATTAAGATTTTCAGTACGTTTTAAAATCCAATTAATTTGTGCATAGGCAGTGATTTTCCGCAGCTTTGCTTTGCTTCTGATACAAGATTGCAAGATAAAAACAGATGAACTACATTGTCCCTGTGGGGCAGTAGCATCTAAGCGGGTAGTACTGTATATCAGCCAGATTGCGATTTATCAGACCGTTAGGTGGTGCTTGGTAAACGCTTGCTCCTGTTTTTTGATGTGGCCAATCTTCCCTGGGCTTGTTTGTCCTTTTACCACTGTTCCAATTACACTTAAAATGTGGCTTTTGTGAAATAGCACTGGAAGCCTGGGTTTCTCTGTTGTTTGGCCTTCTAAAGAAATTCCAGAAGATCAGGCTGGTGCAGAATATTACCAAGCTCCTGGATGTTGAAACCTCTTAACATGATTCAATATCCAGCAGTAGTCTATTGTCGGGATCAAGTGATAAGGACTTCCTTTTAAGCACCTTTGGCCTAAACAGTTCCGGCGATTGGTCAGATGGTGTAGTTTTTGCAGCTCTGGCGGGAAACCAGGAAAACATCATGCAGGTTCTTCAGTTTTGTGGTCCGTGGAGTGACTCCTGCGCAAAGTGGTTCAGGGATCAGGATGGACCTACATCTGAGCTGCCTTTATCTTCCAGACCTAACAGAACCTTCTGATGTTGAGGTTTATTGGGCAGAAAAACAAGGGACGCTCAAAATTCATCAGGCTTTGGGAAATGTAGGATGAAGTACGGATGCCTGCCATGTGGTTGAATTTCTGAAACGTCTCGGTTGTGATTAAGGATCTGGCATCAGAAAGAGTGTATATATTGGTGTAGGATATCACGTGTACAAAAACTGGAGGCTCCCTTGAGGTTGAGGGGAACCGGTACCACCCCACCCCCCCAACACTATCCCATTTCCTCCCCACAGCCCACGTCATGTAAACAAATGTTGCTACTCTATGGTCCTGACTCCAGTGACGTTACTTGTTACGTACCGACTTCTTTTAGCCCTGATTGTCGATCTAGTTGGAAGACAAAAGAAAGGAATATTTGTTTTGTTTTTGTTTGTATTCTTTGAATTTTCGGGGAGGGGAGGGAGGGCTGGGGGGGGTTTCTGAGTGAGGTTAGGGGAGGTGGAAGGTTAAAGCTGAAACCGTTTTGTAACCCTGTAAAAAAAAAAACTAGAAGAGGGAATTGCAAATAACATTCCAGTGTAAAAAATAAATAAAAAGGCAAAAAAATCTTTAATCAATTAAAGTGTATTATAAAATGTGACTTAACCGTGTGCAGTTTGTTCCGGTAGTCTGCTCGGGAGGCTTTATTTGGAGGATAAAATGATCAATGTATATGATCCTGAGATTGGGGAAGAAGGTTCATGCAAAATGTTTATTATGGCCATTTTGTACTGCCTGTTTGATCGTGTATCTCATGCTCTTAATCCCACTTTCAACTTGGCTGAGGCTGGAAGGCGTGTTAATTCCCCATCCTTCCTAGAGAGGGCTCCTGGGATCGTCGCATTGTTGCGTGGAGACGGAGGAAAAATGATACGGAAGGCGGAAAACCGGGAGAAGAGAATTGAAATTCAGTTCTGGGTTTTTATTGGAACAGCAGGCCTACCTCTGCCCCTGCCCTGTCTGATCACGAGCTCACTGCTGCATGATGCGTCTCAGGTTAGAGGAAAAGGAACTGCGTTTACTTGCACTCCTGTATGGCAGGTCTCTACTTCAAGACGCACTTCTGTCAGAGGAACTGAAAAAATGAAAGCTTTGAAGGCTGGAGGAAAGGGTCTTTTTTTTTTACGTCACAGTGTTCTGAACTCTTCACGCTTAAGAAACTTCAGGATTGTGAAGCATAAGGACATTTTCTAACTTTAGACTGGGCGGGCGTTCGTCTTAAAAAAAACAAAACAAAACGTCCATTGCTGGAAAGTGAAACCGCCTGAAAATGTGTTTGAGAACGTCCTCAGCCACCATGACCGGTGAAAGGTTTTAAATAAGAATAAACATTTGCTAGCAAGCAATTACCGCTATTTTAATCAGAGATTCTCATCGAGCTGTTTCGTGAAAGAAAGGTTGTTATCGTGAAAGGTTGGTTATCAAGAAATGACAAGGTGGCTGGGTAGCCCTGGTCCAGACCCCCATAACCCTCTGTCCCCAGTGTTCGTTGCACTTGTACTTAATTTCCACTCCTGTCTTTATTTCTGCCTTTTTCTTCCTGCAGAGTTCCATTTCAGCCAACAACCCTGTTCTCTTTTGAGTTCTGGGAATTGAATATGGGTACAGAGTTGATCCCATCTACAAAACCCTTTGAAGGCTTTAAGAGCTGAAAGCAATTAACCCACCTTAATTGGGTTTTGACTAAGTGCCCCAACAAACTCTATAAAAGCCAACGAGTGGCTCCCTATGCTAAGGTTTGGGAACTGCTGCTACAGGAGATGACCAGAGCATGTGGTTTCCTTAGACACTGACCTCAAAGATTATCTGAAAGAAGAAACTAACACATACCCATAAACCAGCTAAACCAGTAATTCTCTCAATGGTTCCCCTGCTGGGAATGTTTTTTAGTAACATTTTTTTTTAAGTAACCCCGAAAGCATGTGCCAAATGAAAACAAACGTCCACCAGTAACTGAGAAAATAATAGGTTCATTCCGAGGTCTGAAATAGGAGAGACTGTCTTGGCAGAACAGTGGGAAACTGGGATCGCATTCCTTGCAGAAGTGTGAGTTGGGAAAGGCAGAGCAAGACAGAGATGTGTTTGTCTGCTTGGACATCTGCCCCCCCCCCCTCACTTTGCCAACGTTGTCAATAAGAGGGGAAGAGAAACAGGGTCAGGGGTCAGGGGTCAGGTCAGAGTTCGCTGTATTTGGGTATGAGGCAGGCAGGAAGGGGATTCTTGGGCCGGACCTCAGCGCTGCTTGTGTTGGCAAATGAGGCAGAGGTACATCCTGCCAAAACACAGTCAGCGGCCTGTGTGTGAGTATAACAAAGAGTTCCTTCTTCTGATCCTGTCCACAGAGCAAGTGACGCTCAGGAAACGTGCCATTTCATTGTGGAGGGGCTTTTTTCCTCTTGCCTTTGAGACAAGGGGGCGGACGAGCACAATTCCACTAAGAGCCCCACTGGCCGCCCTCAGACACAGTTGCTATCTGGATTATTAGTTCCTTCCAGAAAAGGGGATTTTTCTTTTCTGGTACAGAGCTGTTTTTGTTGACCGGACTGGGCTCTTCACGCCTGAATGATAAAAGCAGAGTGACAGTGGCAGACAGACACTCTTGTACCGCTGAGCCCTGATTGGATGAGCCAGCCAGTGCTGAAATAGTGCCTGCTCACTGAACGTCCCAAACTGCTGCCCTTGCGCTTAGGATCAAGCCGGAGAGGGGAAACAGAGGAAGACGGGCCTTCAGGAAAGAAAACGGACTGTTTATTCCAGGAAACCACAGGTAAGACGTTCAACCGATCAGACTGGCAGTGTTCTTCCTGAAGACGTTTCAGCGATGAAAAGGCTGGCTTGTACCGTTTCAGACGCTGCTGCCTGAACACTACCCCTGTAATCACCCACCATGTCGTACAGGCAATGTAACCTGAGCAAATTCGTGTAAGTGAACTGGATTCACACCTTCACAGCAGGAAAACTCCCCGAGCCAGGCGTAGACATGCGATTACTGCTTCTGTTGTGAGGGTCATTTATGGGTTTTGTGTTGATTTTAAATTTTTGACTGCTTTTGAAAACCTTCAAATGTAGTGTGTGCTTTTCCAAAAATAAAATCCTTCAGTTCTCGTTAAATATTCCTGTTCTGTTGATGACAGGCTACTGCTTTCACAGTCTGCCTACGATACGACACATCCACTGACAGTGGCACTATTTAGGCCACGGCACAGCAGGACTAATCTGTTTTTGCTACACGAGACATATTTCAGCCCTGATTGAACTCAGAAGATATTTTCTTTTTATTTGTAAGAGCATTTTTTATTCTGTTTCCAGGATGCTGGGTGGGAGATGCCTTATTGGTGTCTGGGAGTGAGTTGGTGTGTGTATAAGAGAGTGTAGATGAATTCCTTGGTGACCTCTTTTAAACTTTAATTGCAGTGGAGTGGAAGAGCGGGGAGGCGGGGTGGGAGGAGGGGAGTATCTGTCTCTAATTGCAGATATAGACAAAAAGACTCTGCTGTGACACAGAGGCAGAAGGGAGAGGGGGCACGGGAACAGTGGGTGTGGATGAATCCTCATTCAGGCTCCCTACTCCAGTAGGGGGAGGAGTGTCCCTACTCTTTGGTGCCCTTTCCCTCAGGGGTGTGTCTAATGAGTGCATGGGTAACTCCTGAGGCTTTGTGAGGTGCCTCTGTAAGTGAGACAGTCCACTGAACACAGACAACAGCTACAACAGAGCCTTCCTGCTCCTGTATCATTCCTGGACTATTGTCATTCCTTTCAGTCAGGCCTCCAGGTCTAGATTTAAAGACGGTGGTCCTGAATGACACGCCTTTACAATTTTACAGATAATGAAAAGATTCTTCGGGCAGCACTTTCAAAATCAGCGCTAGGCTGGTTTTTTTGCCAAGTCTCCTTTTTTCATCTGATAATTTTTACTGTCTTTCCAAGACAACGTTTTGTTTTGTTTTTTTCCGGCTGTTGAGTAACAGACCTCTTTGGGTCCTGCCTCCAGGGCCCCCGGCGTGTGGAAAAGGAAAGATTTCACCTCACCAGAGGGGTGAAGATGATGACTAAGAAAGTGAGATTTAAGGTATGTCCTCCAAGGCACAGCTGTGCTGTAGTTTCCACCACTAGATCAATTGTTTTATCCGATTCTAAGAATATGTTTTTCAAATGCCATTGTTTCGTGGCTCCGAGTTCTTTCTTTGCTACTGAAAGAACCCCACAAAATATATTCAGGTGCAGGACAGATGTTGAAGAAATATCTCCTCTCCAGGATGTGCGGTTTTCAAAGGGAGATTAACCGAGTTGCTGTTTTACTGCTATCATCTCGTTTGGCTTGTTATTATACCCATTAGGCAAATATTGTGATTCTTGTTTCTCACAATGCAAATGAAAAAGCAATCCAATTTTTTTTTCTTAAGGAATTGTGACAGAACAATCATGCTGGCCTGTGGTTCATGACTCCACACGTACAGTGCTTTTAAAAGGAATGATAACCCCCCTCTTTGAAGCAAAAACATTTCAGTCCTGTAGAAGCATTCAGATCCAGCAATTTCTTTTTTTTTTTCAATGTGTGACAAAGACGTCTTTAACTGAAAGGTCTCACTGAGTGCTCTGTTTAGATGGCCCAGGTTAAAATTGGCAATTTAAGCTTTGCTTTTCTAAATGTATGGCTCACGTTTGAATGGTCTTATTGTAAGCTATAAAATAACCTCGAACTCTGACTTCCCCCTTGCATAGTCTTGACTCTTTAGTGCAAATGTGTTGGTTTTTCTTAATAAATCACATTATGCTTGGAATTCAGAAAGCTTTTACAAGAAACAGCCATTATGGATTATCAATCCGGGGAGCAGTGGGGAAGGGGAGTTATTGAATTATCCCATCTAAGTGTACAAATGATTAGTACATTTAGAGAACTTGTGATTTAAAGCCTTGAATCAGACCAGCACTCTCTCTACTGCTCAGAAGAGCTGTGCTGTTTCCACATGCTCATTCTGTGAAAGTTCTAAGTCACGGGTTCCCAATTCTGGTGCTGGTGACCCACATACACCTGCTGGTTTTCCTTCCAGCTCGCCTTCATTAGATCCTCAAAGTCTTACTTGATCTAAGAAGCTGCTTCAATTGAATATTTGCATTTTGCTTCTAGTCACGAGTTTGGGATTGTATTTCACTTTCAAAACACAATGGTTAAAAGCTGCAACATGTTTAAGAGCTAGGAACAGACAATCCAAATGAATCTTAATAATATTATTATTATTATTCAGTCACTGAAGGGTTTGATTGTGTCACTGAGGGCTCAACTGGAACAAAACCCCACAGGTGTGTGAATCAACAGGACTTGATTGGGAAACACTGATGTAAATCTTGGCGCTCCTCACCAATGGTGTGCAACTTTCAGTTACAGGAGTTTACAGCTACAGGAGTTACTGTGTTTTGGAGGGCAGGCTGGTGTTTCACTGTATATGATCAGTGGGCCAGGAGGGGAGGTGTGACTGTGCTATGAAACGATCAGCCATTTGCTTGAGCAAATCAGTAAAAACCAAGAACCTCAGACAGAACAGATTTAAGTCTCTTATTGCAGAGCAATGTGTTCCATCTCAAGATTGTTTGCGAGCG